TGCTGTCAGCAGTGATGGAGTTGGGGGGAGGTGCCTGTAAATGCTTATGTTTTTGCAATTTTGAGCTGGAGAATGGAACATGCACATCCTGTTTTCTTTAGAGCTTTACCCTGTGACCTCTCTATTTAAGACCTTGGCTAGTCTAATCACGGAGCTCCGGTTTCATTGTGACAAGGGAAGAAATAATATGAGCCACCTAAAAAAATAGTCAAAGGAACTTTTAAAGATTTATTTTTGAGATGAGGTGGAAGCTAAGTTAATATCTATAATTTCTGAGTACACACATAATTGAGTACTGATTCCTTTCCTATATGAAGATTTAACAGATTTCAGTTACCAGCAGCATTGCTGATAACATAATAGAGTGTTTTTACTTTGTGAGGATTTAGGAATGCCCAAGCTATACCTGCTACAGTGATTCTGTCTTCAAGTTCCCAGAGGAAAATAGATGTACTAGGTGGTGACCAAAAAGGACCAAAGGTAGATAAGTCTTGTGTGTGTCAGTGTCTTTATTTTTTTTTTAATATTTTATTTATTATTTTTATTTTATGTGTATGAATGTATTACTTGCATGTATGTAAGTGCACCTGTGTTGTGCAAAGACTGGAGAGGCCAGAAGAGAGCGTGGGATTCCCCTGGAACTGGAGTTATAGACAGTTGTTAGCTGCCATGTGGGTGCTGGAAATCGAACCAAGGTCTTCTGGAAGAATAGCAACTGGTCTTAACTGCTGAGCCATCTCTCCAGTCCCAGTTTCTTGTAAAGTATGCACAATCACTATTTCTATCCAACACACCTGCTAACAGTACTACATAAATGAATATGTGTAAGACATACAAAGCTGCATTTTTATGTTGCCTCCCTATGTTTTCACAGAATAATAATGTCAAAAACCCGGACTTTAGATCTAGACTTCCATTACTGTAGTCCATTTGACAAATGGATGACCTTGAGCAGATCACTTAATCACTGTGCTCCTCTCAGAATATATATAACAATTAAGAAGAGGTCATGAAAATGAGAGGAAGTGGAGCAATGTTCAAGGAGGTAGATGGGGAGATGGAGAGGTAGAAATGAAGTACAGTACTCATGTATGAAATTCAAAAAAAAAAATTCAAAAATTAAAAGTTATGTATTGGTTTGGGAATTTTACTAAGGTGTAAGTTTGTATTTGAAAAATAGTATCAGAATGTGACTGATAGTGAATATGCTTTGTTCTGTTTTTCTTTGTACTCAGTTTCTACATCTCAACACAGCTCTTAGGCTTCTTCTTTTTAAAATAATAGGTTTACTTAGTCTTTGAAAATTTAGTACATATATATCATCTACCATTACCTCCTTCTACCTCTCCTTAAGTGCCCTTCATCCTGTCTCCCATCCAACTTCATGGCCTCCTTTAAGTTGTTATTTATAGTTCTCTGAGTCTAGTTAGTGCTCCATATGTACATGGGATAGGACTCTCCTGAGGTGGGGGAAGCCTGCCGGAGGCTACACCCCCAAAGGAGAGTAACTCTCCCTCCCTCAGTAGCCATCACCTACCATTAGCTCCTCAGCCAAGGGTGGGGTCTTGAGGCCCTTCCCCCATCTACTCTGGAATTTTGTCTGGCTTTCTCTTGTTTAGGTCTTGTGCAAATAACCGCAGCTGGTATGTGTTGATGTGTGCAGCAGCCATGCCAATGTACAGAAGTCAGCATGTCATAACCCTCCTCTCCCTCTGCCAGCACTTTCCATTTCCTCCTTCTCAATGTTAGATGGGGCAGAATTTGATAAAGATGACTCATCCACAGCTGAGCACTCACAGTTACTTACACTCAACACTGATTAGTTTTGAGTGTCTGCTTTAACCATCACTGACGTGCAAAAAGCTTTTCTGACCAAAGCTGAGAGCAACAGAAATCTATGGGTATATTTAGAAGGCAGTTTGACAGCATGACCTTTTGGAAAAACACCAATAGGTTCCCCTACTAGGGCCTATGTTCACCCCAGGCATGGGCTTCTGACCAGATTTACAAGTACCAGGCATGAAATTCTTCCTGTGGATCAGGCTTCATATTCACTCAGAAAGAAGCTGGTTATCCTCATAACCATCATGCCATGGTTGTGCCATACAGCACATCTCTCCAGGCAGGTTGGTATTATAACATGCAGGGTGCCATGCTGGGTGAAATAAACAAAACTGTGCCTTTAAAAGTGGGGGAGGGGAGCAAGAGGTGAGGGAGAGAGTTGACTTCTAATGCCAGAGACAGAAATGTAGAGAAAGTGAAAAAATTTACTAAATATTTAACCTGTAGAGACTTGGGAGGTTGACATAGAATTCAGTGAGGGGAACAGGAGTTTTAAATGGAAAATATCAGCACTCTGTGGACCATAGCAGCAAAATTTAGGGAAAAAGTATATGAAGACCCCTCTTGAAGTTTCTGTTATACTTTACTTCATTTTAAGAGAATATTTAAGAGCTATGGGGTATTTTTGAATTATTAATTTTTAGCTTCAAATATTAATTGAATATTTTTGAGGGATGTGGGGTCACCTTATGAATGTCAAGAAGCTGTGTGATATTTTGTAGGTTATCCTAATTCTTTTTGATGTTTCAGACATTTCAAATAGATTGCTGAAAGCACTTACTGCCTGTTCATTTTTCTTTGTATTTTCTGTCATATTTCTGGAACAATGTTCTGCTCATTGAAGGTTCCTAATAAACTGAATGCTTTGAATTATTTAAATGTGTCTTCCAATTTTAAACATTTATGACTGAAATATATATATTTCTTTTTACAAATTCTAGAAATTAAGTATGTGAATTCCAAAGTGAGGGAAGACATATCTCAGAGGGATGCAAAATGCATTGGTTTTAAGAGCTAAACAGCTCAGTCCTTAGCTGGAAATTACTCTCTCTGCATATTCTTATCTTGTTAAAATATTTAGTCAGGAATCTTATGACAGGAGGTTTTTCCTAGGGTTTCAGTATTTCCTGAACTAGGAATGATATGGAATAAAAACATTTATTGTACTTCTTTTTGAATTCAAATCAAAAGATTTTGGCTGACAAAGCCAGCGGCTTGTTTAAAATAGAAGATTGGAATCACGTAGCATTTGGTTTTAACTATAAGAACAGGCTGAAGTTGTCTTCAAAGGGAGGGTGTATAAAGCAGTCCACATCTGCCAAGCCCGAGGCCTGATTGCTTTACACGGATGAGCTTCCCTGTCCCCAGCTCATCTGTTGTATTCCCCTGCTCCTTTGAACTGCTGTGCTGTCTTTTAGCATCTTCAAGTACAACAAGCGAACAGCAGTGGGATGAGAGTTTGAGTTCAGTTCTTTAGACCGCTTAGCTAGCCAAGAAGTTTGCCCTCTAGCAACAGGACAGCTGAAAACATAAAACAGCCCAAACTGTACTTTGGGAACTTGTGGAATAAAAAAGTTCTTGATGATGAAGAGTGAAATTTCACTGTTAATTATAGATTCCTCTCCCTTTTTAGTTCATTCAACCTTCCTTTGGAAGCTCTATGCCTCTACATGAGAAATTCTTTTTGAAAAAAAAAGAGAGGGCTTTGGAGAAGTTGAGTTCTTCCTGAGTTTTCATAAGCCACTGTGGGTAATGCAGAAGACAAATTGTGGCGTCAGGGGTAAAGAGTTACTGAAAGGAATGTTTATCTCAGGGCTGATAATAGAAGAAGGTGCACGGAAAACAACTTTTAAGTTAAATTTAAGTACAAAACTTGAGACCATTACTCCAGATATGCTAATTGTTTCATTGCACTGTCCGTCGTCCTTATTCTTGATGTAGTTAATACCTGTAACATTAACAATTGAAATGTATTTATTTCTTACGGTTTTAATTTCTCCATGAGGTAATACAATTTCTATCCTATCAGGCATTATCTATTCAGTAACTACTTTTATGTACTAATTACATGTGTGGCGTATTGGTAAATAAATAGATAAGGAGGATGGAGAAATGGCTGTCCACCTCTCCAGGTTCAGTAAGAGACCCTGTCTCCAAGGATTAAGTTGGAGTGTGCTGGAGCAAGACACCTCCACACACACATACCCACGCACATACACAGTGCACACATATACCTCTCTCTCTCCCTCACACACATTCATACACACACACACATACCATACACCACACACACACACACACACACACACATATATATATATATCACGTTGCATCAGGAGAGAGAGAGAGAGAGAGAGAGAGGGAGGGAGGGAGAGGGAGAGGGAGAGAGAGAAGCATTAATGAAAGTAAACCTACATATGTCCATAAATGTTAGCCTATGTGCAACAGCACACCCTTTTAAACTGACAAGTTATTGTAGCAGGTTACTGTGACATATTGGCAAAGGATTTTTTCCTTAGGTTAAAGCCAAAATAGTAGTTGCTTTAGTTCATGTTCTGCTCTGTATTTTTAAAACTTTTTATTTATTATTTACTTGTGTATTTTTTATGTATATGAGTATTTTGTCTGCATGTATGTAAGTGCACCCATGTTGTGCAATGCCCAAGGACCAGAAGAGGGTGTTGGATCCCCTGGAACTGGAGTTAGGGAAAGTTGTTAGCTGCTGTGTGGGTGCAGGAAACCAAACCCCGGGTCATCTGCAAGAGAATCCAATGCGCTTAACTGCTCTCTATTCTGTATTTTGAACTCAACTGATAACTAGACCACAGATTCATTTTTCATAAAAATTTTCAAATTTTACTTTCTGCTCAGCATTACTCCTTTTTTTGTAAGAAGTCTTCTAAAATATCTTTGAAAAACTAAATTTAGAATTATTTATGGATATTCTAATTTTAGTTTTTGAAAGAATTTTATAGTTTTTAAAATTTTTCCCACAATACAATGCTAAATATAACATGTTAAGCTTGTGAATTAGAAAAAGTTGAATTTTAGTTATTCTGAGTATTAGTATTGTGCAATAAGCTTGTTACTTGTGTTTCAGGGTTTAAGTAATTGCATTCTTTCATATAAGGAGCTGAATACTGTTCAATGCTCTTTAGGTAGTTTGGACTCCTGGGATCTGCTCATTTGCCTGCCTTCTAAGAGAGCTGCTGGAAAGCCCTGCATACCTAGGGAGCACATGTGCCGGTTAGGGTTGCATCAAAAGGTGAGTACTCCCAAAGTGTACATACATTTTTATCAACTGTGGATATTATTAAAAGTGGAAGTTCCTGATCCATACATTTTTATTAAAGCCTTGAAAAATTGGAACTACTGTATCTTTGGAGAAAAGTTCTAAAAAGAGTTGGTTAGCTTTCTATTACTGTAACAGAAGACCTGGGACAATCCATTCTATAAAGAGGAAACATTTGTTTTTGACTCACAGTCTCAGAGTTTAAGGCCGTGGTCACTTGGCCTTGTTGCATTTGTGCCTGTGGTAAGGCACAAGGCCTGTGGTAAGGTATTAGGACGAGGAATGTGTGGTAAAGGAAATTGCTTATCTCATGGTGTCCAGGAAACAGAGATGAGAGACAGGAAATGGCCAAGGTCCCAATAACCCCTTGACAGTTCATTCGCAGTGCCTTAACTTCTTCCAACTAGGCCACACTTCTCAAAGATTTTGCCAGTCCCTAGTGATATGACAGGCCAGTGACCAACCCTTAGCCTGTGAGCCTTTAGGGCTTATTTAAGAAGCAAAGTGACACTGTGCCTTACACTAAGATAAGAAGGGCCAGGTTTTGTTTGATTATATTCTATAGCTTGATCTGCTGTAAATACTGTTTTTTTTTTTTTATTTTTTAGTCAGTAAGACACAAACTTTACCTAGAATTATATAACTTATGGAATACTACTTGACCTCTACTCATTGAGAAGTCTTGATTTTCTACATATATCATTGTTCTGACCTTTAAAAACTTATCTTAGTATGTGTTTCAGTTAGTTTAATTGTCAACTTGACCAAGCCTAGAGTCATCTGAGAGGAAATTGACTAGATCAGATTGTCTGTGGTGGAAGGTCTTGATTACTCATTGGTGTAGGAGGGCCTTGCCCTCTGTGGGCTGTCCCTAGACAGGTGATCCTGGGTTGTCTGAGAAAGTCAGCTAAGCAGGAGCCTGTGAGGCAGCGCTCCCCCATGGTTTCTGGTTCATATCCTGCTCTGCTTGAGTGAGTGCCTTCCCTGATTTCCTTCAGTGAGGGGCTGTGATCTGGAAGAGTAAGCTGGAATAAACCCTTCCGCAAGTCGCTTCTAGCAAGCGAGTTTTATTGCAGCTACAGAAAGAAAACTATAACAGCATATTAGACAACACAATTTAATGTAGTTTCTTATTAACCTGTAATTGAAATTCAGTCTTACTGTCTATATTGTATGAACTTTTATAAATGGAAAGCCAACTAAAACTTGTCCAGTGTCTGCAGTGTGATGGGGTGTCTGCAGTGTGATGGTCGTTACACTTAAACAAGTTATATATTGTTGATACTTATAACAAATCTATGAAGAAAGTGCCAAAAATCAAGTTATTTTTCCAGCTCCTAATTGGAGCTGTAGTAGCCTATCCTGGTGACCTGACATTTCTACAATGACAGTCTACAGTTTAAACACAGTTTATCATAATTTTTTCTTATAACTTTTTTTTCCTTAGACTTTGGGTTGAGTATATACTTTGGGTCACTGATTTTTTATTTGGATTTTATTTTTTGAGACAGTGTCAACACATGGCTTTGAACTCACCACATAGCCCAGGTTGGCCTTGAACTTGTGGCAGCCTTCCTGTCTCAACCTCCAAGTGTTGGGACCTATGTACATTGGTAGGCATTCCATTTTTTTCTTTTTCTCCTCTCTCCCTCTTGCTCTCACTCTCACTCTTGCTCACACTCTCTCTTGCTCTTTCTGTCTTACCCTCACTCTCTTTCCTTCCCTCCAATTCCCAGGGTCTCACACACATTAGGAAATTGTTCTATCACTGACCTATAACCATAGCCCTTCCTGTCTAATTTTCCCTAACCATGTTTTCTCTGCTTCTGCTTTAGAACGCCACTCCCCAAATTTCAATTACCACCTGTAGCTGATGATTCTCAAACCCACATCTAATCTTCAGAACACTTCCCCAGGCTTCAGGCTTTCACATGCCCATGCACGTGTCTTGGATGGCCCACAGATACTTAAACTTGGCCAGCTCACTGTTGGGTTATTGCTTTCCTCAGCAACCTTGCTCCTGCTCTTGCAGTCGAAGCTCCACAGACATCTACCATGTTACTCGTAAGTGTGATCAACCAGCCAGCCTCTCCTAATCATTGTCTGGTGTTCACCCTTGAGACATTCCTCTTTTGTTATTCACATTGCATTAGGCAGTACCAAGGCATCTGACCTCTAAATATTCTTCAACTCTGTTAGCTGTACCATGTACTGACAACGCTTATTTTGGTCACATAATCATCACATTTGCCTAGATTTGCTAAATCTCCTCACATGTTTTCTGAAGCAAATATCTGACCTCTGAAATTCACCATGCTCTGTTCTCCTGTTATCAGAAGGAAGCTATAGAATGGTGAGCTGACCTTCTTATTCCTGTGCATAGAGTCTCCAGTGCCTTCTCATCAGCTGGGATCAAGTCTGCAGTATGTGCTGTGTCTTAGCCTTTTACCATACTCAGAAAAGTATATTGCAGGGAAACTAATAAAAGAAACATACAGATGTTTGGACAGGGTAAAGAAACTGTAACAATGAAAAGGTAGCAAGGCACCCAAGGACCAGCACCATCCCAAGATATTCACCACCTCTGATCATAGGAAAGGCATGCGGAAGGAATGAAGCAGCCCTGGACTAGTGAGAACCAGAGCCCAGAAATAGGCTTCGCTGGAGAGAGTTTGGAAATTTGGTGGAATGGAGCTTTTGCCAACCACAGGCCTTCATAGAAGCCTGAGAGATAAGTACCCAAACTTGCCCTCCTCCTGCCCTCCAGTCTCTCTCCAGTTGCTCCCACTGGCCCAAGACAGCGGCTAGACAAGAGGCAAGATCCTCTATGATGTCACCTGTAAAGATCAGCCTGTTGAGAACAGGAGATGGGAGAGCTGAAGGGGACAATGGTATTTAGCAGTTAGCTATGAAGGGTTCTCTGCTCATGTATCCTGCCCAATAGTGTTCTTCTCTTAACCTCTGCCTACCTTGGGTATAATATGAAGTGATTATAACCCAATCATCATTCCCTAAATACCTATGATGGTTTCTGTCACATACCTTCCTTCCCTCCCTCTTTTCCTCCCTCTTTCCCTCCCTTTTTCTTTCTGCTTAGAATGCTCTTCCTCAACCCCCTCTAAAGGAGGGCCTTTGTCTCTCCTGGTAACAGAACAATAGAGACACTTTAGGTTTGTCACAAACAGAAGTGAGGGGTGGGGGGCGGTGCTACCGGCACCTACAGGTCAAAGCAGAGGATGCTACTAAATACTGTATAATGTTAGAAATCAAGAGCAATGAAGCCCACTAAAGCAGCTCTTAAAATTTATTATTTTAAAAAATATTTTATTTATGGGGGCTGGAGAGATGGCTCAGAGGTGATTGCTGCTAGATGAGGAACAGCTGACCTTCCTAAAACAAAGACCTCTAGATAGGCTGACTAGATTCATCAGATGGACAAGTAGTGGGGAATGGCTGGGGGTGCTGACAACAACACAGCAGACAGTAGTAGAGATATCAGAGTATAAGGTCTCAAGCGGGGGCAGGGAGGCTATGGAAGGGTGCCATCTGGGAAGTGGGTGTAACAAAAATATTTTATTTATTTTATGTGTATGAATGTATTGCCTGCATGTATGTAAGTGCACCGGAGTCGTGCAATGCTGTGGAGGTCAGAAGAGGGCTTTGGGTTCCCCTGGAACTGCAGTTAAGGATGGTTCGTAGCCACCATGTGGGTGCTGGGAATCAAACCTGAGTCCTCTGCAAGAGCAGCCAGTGCTCTTAACTGCTAAGCCATCTCTCCAGTAACCCCCACCCAAATTTTTATTGTTATTTATTTTATGTGTACAAGTGTGTTGCCTGAATGTATGTAAGTGCACCCGTGTTGTTCAATGCCTTCAGAGGTCAGAAGAGGGCATCGAATTCCCTGGAACTGGAATTATGAATGGTTGTTAGCTGCCATGTGGGTGTTGGGAACCAAACCCAGGTCCTCTGCAAGAAGCTCTTGACTAAAATCTTTAATGATGAAGTCCTGTACCATCACCTATACCCTGAAGGATTTAGTTACACTTAATCTCTGTAGCCTTTAATTTCTTTTCCTGAATATGAAGGCATTAGACATTAGCTTTTACTTTTTATGAAGGTCACAGGAGACCAATGGACTTTGTATTGAGGCCAGAACCAAGTGGAACAGCAGTGAAACAGTGAAGGGTGTGAGCTAAAAAAGTAAATAGAAATGAAAATAAATGAAATGATAAAATACAGTGTCTAGCATGCTGAGATTCCCTTTTCATGTTTTTAAATTTTGAAATAGTTTAGACTTGTAGAAAAATTGCGAAAATGGTAATAAATTTTCCCATATACTCTTATCTTGCTCTAAGCTTATCAATACCCACACACAGTTTTACAGGCTTGCTGTGGCAGCTGTGTTGAAGTGAGTTCTTCAGGAGCAAGGACCAAAGCAAGGAGGACAGTTATTGCAATGACGTGGGCCCCAGATGAGGGTAAACTGGACTAGTGGAGTGGCAGTGGGGACAGTGAGATGTTGGCAGAAGACAGGGTACAGATGGAAATGCTAATAGCTAACACTTGTATACTTGTGCTATACAATCAGCATTCTGGGTATCTCCATATTTGTTGATGTATTTCCTCTACAGTGGACAGGACAGCAGCACTATGGGGCTAAGAACATTGTCTAAGGCCCATTAGCTAATTATTAAAGAAATAAAGATTCACACTCAGGAAGTCTGACTTTAAATACCCTTTTTCTCAACCATAGAAACTTTCAAAATAAGTATTCAGGCACTGTCCTGACAGCTTAGTCCAATGAGTATTCTTAAGAATACATCAATTCTTGTGATACATGGAGATCATTTCACTTTGTAAGAGTGAATAATTTGAAGCCTTATGAGCCATGACTTATTTACATATACAACATATTCAAAGCAGAATCTGCTTCATGGTTGTTGGGGATGTTATATAACTGTCAATGACTTTGG